TTGTAATTTTCCTTGATGTGGTCTAAAGTCATTAATAATGCTGCATAATTGTGTTTGAGAACCTCCACTGCTGCTTGTTTGCAATACCGATTTGTTTCACACAGTCGGTGCAACTTTTTTGTCAGTCCCAGTTCTTTCTCTGAGTTCTCAAATATAAATAACCTTGGATGACTTACAGTTATAAAAGTATTTTTTCAATATTGCCAAAAATAGCAACTTCATTCACACTGGAGCAAGTAGCAGGTAAAGCCAAATTTAATTTATAAGCACAACAGTACACGATCAGTGACAACGAGTTAACATCTTGACCCTAGTGTGTAATCCTCCAAATCTTCTTGACTTGTTGGAAGCACCATCATTTGCCTCTGATCTAATATACGTTCACACTTGGATCTAGTTCCTTCAAAAGCTTCTGAAGTGTATCGGACAAATATTCTGATTTGGAACTGTCAATAACTATAAATTTTATCAATCTTTCCTGTACTTGGAAAACAGTGCCCGTGTAGCGAGTAGAGATCGACGTAGCCTGGCGAATCTCACTTGTTGGATTCAAGTAAGTCTGATTCCCTGGAGATTCACCCAGAGGCTTGGTGAGAACTGCATCATATTTGCCTAATATCTTTACAAGCTCAAGAAAGTTACCGGTAGCTAGCTCTTCAGTCATTTCCCAGAACACAAACCTATAGCTTCAGTATCAACTAGAGCTGAGCCGGTATGTTTACTGTTTAGTTTCATCTTTGCTGAGGTACTTTGGGTATCTGTTGCTTCATCAACCCGAGAAATATCCCTTGCCTGACCTTGTGATTCTATGAATATACGTTTAAATAATGCCTTCATATTTTTAATCCCTTTTCCTGTTTTTTCTTAGCCTTGCATGCTGGGTGAGACACTCTTTTTTTTTTTTTTAATAATTTGCTGCAGTCAAGTCCCACTACGTCCACTTTGCTGTGAAAGGCCATTTTTGTATTTTTTAAATTTTAAGCAGTGCTGCAATATAAAATTTTCAGGGAAGGAATAGTACGAAGCAGAAACTCCCTGGTAGAACAGCTGCTGAGGCCCATATAAGATGATGCTTGAAACACACGAATACCATTTATAAACCTACTGTCAATGGGTTCCCAACTTATACTGTATGTACTAGTAATAACATTACAGCTGTATTATACTCGTGAAAAGAACATTCATGTGAACTCATATTTCAATTTGTTGTCACTCGGAATTGAGTATGACAATCATCCAGCTTGGAAACAATGATATGATTTATTAAGGATGTCACCTTCGTTGGTTAGCTCTGAGGTGACTCGAGAGGCCAGTACTGGATCGGCAGGGCTGTCCACAGATGAGGCATGTGTAGAGGGTTACATCTAGAGCAAGAGGGATGACTGCAGCGTCTTTCCGGCGCTGGCGCTTGTCTGCCTAGGTATGCAGTCGGGCTAACTCGAAAGTATTGACACCTCGTGTGGTTCTCCTCTAAGCATTATGGTGTGGAGTGATCGTCTCCCAGGTGAGGGGGGTCGATTTGGCACTTTTTCCAGTTTGTCTTAAGACTGTCCTTATATATTCTCCATTGCATGCCAGCGTTATGTTTACCATTGGGTAGATGACTGTTAAGTAGTTGTTTTGGCAGTCTAATGTCATCCATGCAGGTAACTTGGCCAGTTCAACGTAGTTGATTAAGGATAATAGTAGCCTCGATGCTCCTACAGTTGGTGATAGCGAGAATACTGGCATTTTTTCTCTTGTCTTTCCAGAGAACTCGGAGGATGGAACGTAGACTACATTGCTTAAAGTTTTCATGTGCCTCCAGGTGCCTCCTGTATGTGATGTGACCCATGCCTCGCTGCCATACAGCAGTGTGGAGAAGACCACTGCTTGATACACGTGCAACTTTGTAGATTATTTCAGCTAAAGACATGGGTACAGAGTCTGCCGAAGGTTTGAGATGCACATCTGATCCGAAGTTGAATCTATTCATCGATGTCAGTGGTGGTGGACAGGTGGGAGCCAAGGTACTGGAACAGGGTAACATTAGAAAGAGTAGTGCCGAGAAGCTGGATGGATGGTGGAGGTGTAGATGAACCAGAGGCATTCACCTCAAAGCCGAAGTGTGCATACGCATTTGTGTAGGTGTTCACAATATCTTGTAGGTCGCGTTCAGTGTGAACGATGAGTTTCAGGTCGTCGGCATACTGATGTTCAGTGATGGAAGCGGCGGACACATTTGGTTCTGCCTGTTGTCGTCTTATGCTGAAAAGTCCCTTCATCCGGTGCTGGATGTGCACCCCGCCGGCAAAATTGGCACTGGCACGAGTTAGAAAATCAGCCAAGAGAATGGAAAAAAGAGTTGGTGCCAGCACACACCCTTGTTTTATCCCCGTTTGGATGGGGAACATCTCAGATTGGGTGCCATTGTGCAGGACACTGCCGCTAATGCCAGCGTGGAGCTGCCTCACAATGGCACTGAATTTTGGCGAGCAACCAAAACGGCTGAGGGTCCGTCAGAGGGTTTCTCTAATGACCGAGTAGAAGGCCTTAGGTCAATGAAAGCCAAATATAAGTCACGACGTTGTTCTCTACACTTTTCCTGTATCTGCAGGGCAGCAAAGATCATGTTTGGTGTGCCACATGATGGTCTAAAGCAGTGATTCTTAACTTTTTTTTTTCTGTTCGCACCCCTCCCCCCGAATTGATGAAATAACATATTGTAATGGGAATTAATAACAGATCCATTGTGGTTTGTTATCTATATTGGCAACTCAAAAAAAAATAGTGAAAATGCAATGAATTACCAAAGTGCAAAAAAATTCACAATTGACAACTAAATAATGCACTGTAAAAATTCAGATAACTAGAAATGTGCAAAATGTGCAAAGATTACTTTACAATTGCAAGTATTTTGCATGTGTTGCGGATGAACCTGATTGATTATGCTTGTGCACCAAACTCAGTAACATCGTTGCTGTTGTTTGTCCTCCCTAAGATGAGCCTCGTTTGACCACAGCATCCTCGTACCCCTAAGAAACTGGTCTCTCACCCCCAAGGGGTGCGAGCACCCCCGGTTAAGAACCCCTGGGTCACATTGAAATTCTGGGAGGAAGTTTTCTGCATCAGGAAGAAGTCTGTTTAGGAGAACTAGGGCGATAATCTTCCCAGCTACGGACAGCAGCGAGATACCGTGGTAATTGTCACAGTCCTCCTGCTTTATACACCTCAGGTGGGATTCCATCAGACCTTGTGGCTCTGTTATTTTTTATCAGCTTGATGGCAGTATCTACCTCAGCCAGGGATGAAGGATAGCTGAGGTGGGTCAGCTCTGAATGTGTCTCGGTTGAGCAGCGAATGGTAGTTCTCATTCAAGCACTAACGGATGCCTTCTTCATCTTTAAATAGGATTTATCGTTGGATGAGCAGAAGGGGGCCACGCCATGAGGAGTTGGGCCATATATTATTTTAGCAGAATTGAAAAATTCATGCATCTTTGTTGATTCGCAGATATTTGCACTTCATACGCTATATTTTTTAACCATTCATTCATTATTTGCGAAGTTTGCTCCAGGCCGCTGATATCTTCTCGTGGAAGGAATCAGCTTTGGTTCGAGACTTAGGGTTGTTCTGCCAGTCAGTGAGAGCAGCACGTTTACTACTGGCGAGTACTTCGATTTCCGGGTCGTTTTCATCAAACCAATCCTGGTGTTTTCTTTTGATTTGGCCGAGGGTCTCTTTCCAGGTTTTTGTGATAACAACTTTGATGGGACCCCATTCAGCACTCGGATTTTAGTTGTTTGTTGTTGGGTTGCTTATAAGCTCATCATAAGACTTGCTGTTAAAATGTTTTTGGAGGCTTGTTGCCTTCCCCGTTTGGAGGCAACGTGAAGGGAGAGTTTAGCTCTGAAGAGCCAATGATCTGTGTCACAGTGGTCTGAGCCATGCATGACACGGGTGATGAGGACATCTCGGCGATCTCTTTCTCTGACAATGAGAGGCCAATATTTGGATCGTGAGTGTTGCCACAAACCCTTGAACTTGTCGGTCTGCCTAAACAAGGTGTTGGTAATACTGAGGTTATATTCAGCACACTTTATGAGAAGGAATTGGTCTTTTTAATTACACTTGCTTACTCTGTTTCTCCCTTTGGTTCCCTGCCATATATCAGCATCTCTGCCAACTCTGGTATTGAAGTCACTTTGGAACACAATCTTACCTTCTTTTTGGATAGAGATTAGCACTCTGTTAAGGTCGACGTAAAAGGTTTCCTTGATGTCATACTCTGCATCCAGTGTTGGGGCATGTTGCACTGATGAAGAAGACATGCCGTGAGTGATTCATTGGGACTCAGAGCGTCATGGGGTGCTCGTTGATCCCAACAGGCATTTCAATTAGCCTGTGTAGGATGGATTGGCGAATGGCAAATCCAGCTCTGTTGATGTGCTTTCATTCTGCAGCAGGCTTACCCCTCCAGAAGAAGGTATAACTTAACCCCTGTTCTGTGAGTCGACCCTCATCTACGAACCGGGACTCGCTAATGGCTATTATGTCGATGTTATACCAAGACAATTTATGTCTATACTCAGGGCTTCGCTCTTCACATCAGTGCCAGGCTGAAATTCTCTGAGAACCCAAGATAGACTTTGAGGTTCTGTCTTAGTGCCTTCTTATACTGTGGTTTGTGTTTATTTTCTGTCTCCCTAACTTTAGAGTGCTCCCTCACTTTCACTGTTAATGTGCCCTATACCTTCACTGCATTTCTCTACTTTCATTATGTTTCCTTATCTTTACCGTGCTTTTCTACCTTCAGTATGCGCCTCTTCCTTAATTTTGTTTCCCTATATTCACTGCTAGTGCACTTCACTGCTAGTGTACCCTCACTGAGCCTCCGAGCCTTCAAGGGCTGTGTATTTCCCTAGCTCCACTTTGTTCCCTGCCTTCATTGTAATACCCTACCACTGTACTCTTCTACCCCCATTATGTTTCAATAACTTCAATAAGCCTTGGTCACTCACCTCCAATTACAACTTGTGAAGTTTGTGACCCGCAACTCTCCCGCCCAGCCCAGACCCATGATCACCATCAGCGTCAAGTGTACACGGAGCCTGTATGGAGGAGAGACATATATATATATATATATATATATATATATATATATATATATATATATATATATATATATATATATATATATATATATATATATATATATATATATATAACTTCATCAATGGACTTGTTACTTGGAAAGCGTAGTTTCATAATGAAGAGGAGAACCAGAGAAAAGACAAACATCTTGACTAAGTTGGGTTTCTTTAATCACTAACGTTTCGGAATATCGTTTTCCATCATTAGAGCCTAGAAAACAAACAGTTTTAAAAGTTAAAAAAATTACAGGTCATATACAATAAAAACGCAACATTATTCCAAAATTTACCTTCTGCAAAAAAACAAAAAACCCAGAGCAATATAATTTAAAACCGATAAAAATGACGAGAGACCAACATACAAAACGAAAATGAGAAAGCAAAATATACAGGGGGTATTTCCTTAATTTAGACGAGCCTCACGGTGAAAAACACAAGAATTCACAGGAAGCCATATCAGAAATGGATGGCTTTACTTTATATTGATACAAGGCTTCCATAATGAGGAGGTCCTTCTCACAGTTTCTCCTGCCAAGAACTGAGGAATCAGACTGCGAAAACGGGTGGTCATGTTTGTGGGCGTGGTTACGGATAGCTGAATGTAGTGGTTGTGTGATTAACTGGCCTGTTCGAACGGCCCAAGTGCTCATGGATGCGAGTTATCATATGTCTTTTTGTTTGACCTATATATGCTGCTCTACAGCTACCACACGTAAATTGATAAACAACTGAGGATTGCAGGTATGTGGGTATGGTGTCTTTAGATTTAAATAATTTTTTTTATTGAAAGCTGGGCTTTGAAAGTTAGTCTAAGAGAAATTTGTGGATAGAATTCATTGAAAAGCTTCTTAAGTTTGTTTCTAAGGGTGAAACTAAGTGGGCCTGAGTACGGGATGGCTAAAATAGATAGAATATTTAAGAATGGTGTAGACTTGTGGCTGTGTGGGACTAAAAAACCTATTAAGGGTTTTGCCTATATAAGTGTCTGTAAATCTCTTAGGGAAACCATTGTTAAGGAATAGTTCCTTTATGTATTTTAGCTCAATGTCCAAGTGGAAATAGCTTGAACATATATCAAAAGTTCTGTTGGTAAAAGTACGTACTAGATTACGTTTGTAATTAAGAGGAATGAAAGATGAAAATTTTGAACTCAAACCAGTGAATGTTGGTTTTCTGTATAAGGCTGTCTAGAAACTATTATGAAGCCGGTGGATATATTAACAACAAGGAATGGTGGAATATTGTCCTTTTCCAATTCACAAGTAAATTTGATGTTGCTATGTTTCGAATTTAAATAATTTAGGAACCCAACTTAGACAAGATGTTTATGTTTTCCCTGGTTCTCCTCTTCATTATATATATATATATATATATATATATATATATATATATATATATATATATATATATATATATATATATATATATATATATGTTGATAAAATCAAACACCAAAAAGATGGAAAAACAGCCTTGATAAACTTGAAAAGAAATAAGAATATCCATATTACCAAGGCTGATAAGTCTAATGCTATTGTAATTTTGGATAAAAGTGACTACAATGATAAGATGAATTCATTACTTAGTGATGAAAGCACGTATTGTGAGCTTACGAAAGATCCCCTGGAAAATATTAATAAGTTATCTAATTCCAAAATGAAGATGTTATTGAAAAAGAACCCCGATCTCACTAAACAGCTCTCTCAAATCAATCCCACTTTACCTTATATGTATGGATTGATCAAAACACACAAGCTTAATAATCCATTACGTCCTATCGTGAGTTCTGTGGGTTCTGTTACTTACAAATTATCCAAGTGGCTGGTAAAGATGATATCCCCTCTTACAGGCCAAATATCTAATTCACATATACGCAATAGCAGTGATTTAATTGATAAACTCAAGAAACACAACGAACCTTGCGAATTAATAAGTTTTGATGTAAATTCACTGTTCACTAGAGTACCTGTGAAAGACTTACTTTCATTTCTTAAAGATAAATTACAACTGCTAGATTTAACTATTGAACATGATACTTTCCTGAAATTGATAGAGTTATGTGTAACTGACAATGTGTTTAGAGCAAATGGGAAGTTCTACAAACAAATATTTGGCATGAGCATGGGTAATTGTCTTTCTGCTCCTCTAGCCTGTATTTATATGGAGTTTTTTGAGTCTAGATTACTACCCAATATAGTGGACTTTATTCCTCCTTGGTATAGATATGTAGATGATGTTCTTTGTCTTTGGCCTAAAAACAGTGACCCATTGGAATTTTTAGACAAGCTTAATAATATTGTCCCTAGTATCACATTCAAAATTGAAAGAGAAATAAATGAATCCCTTCCATTTCTTGATATGCTTATCATGAGAAATGGCCAAAACTATAAATTTAAGGTATATAGAAAGCCCACACAGGTAGACAGTTTCATTCACTTTTTATCGAATCACCTTGAGTCTACCAAAATGTCAGTTTTTTCTGCTATGTTCCTAAGATGTCTGCGTATTTGTGACTCTGAATTTATTGACGATGAATTTAAACACATTCGTTCTATTGCACAGAAACTTGGGTACCCTTCTGTGTTTGTTGATCGTTGCTTTAAAAGGGCTAAAAAATCCTTTCATTCCTCTCAAACCAGACAAGTTCCTACACTTAAGAATATTTTGACTCTGCTCTATCGTGATGAATTTGTCCCGTTAGTTCGGTCCCTCAAGCTTCTAAATATTAATGTTGTTTTCAAGTATGACTCAACCATTACCAATATGTTAATAAGGAATAGCCCAAGTTTGAATGTAAATGGAAGTGTTTATTGTATTCCATGTAGCAAATGTAATTGTAATTATGTAGGTCAGACAGGAAAAACACTGCAGCTCAGAATCAAACAACATAAGTATAATATCAGAACTGCATCTGAAAGCAGTGCCTTGTTCGTTCATGTTAGGAATAATAATCACCCCATTGCTTGGGAAAAAAGCTTAGAAGTATTCAAATCATCTTGTGTCACAGAAAGACTTCTGGTTGAAGCTAGTTTGATTAAGGAATTAAAATCAATAAACCTTAGTGATGGTCAGTTCAAAACTGATAATATGTTACATAAATTTATTTGTCAGTGGCCCAAGGTTAAAAATGCTTTGAAAACCTTTGATCTTGATGTATGATAGTTATTTTGTGGGTCCCTTTTTTCTGACCTGACCTGTCTAGTCACGTCATCACCCTTCTCTTAAGCTCCTCTACGTGTGTGTTGGTGTGGGGATTAGTGGATGTCATCATTATGACCTGACCTCATGTTTTTAGGTCACCCTGTATATTTAAGCCTCTCTCTGTCCATGTAATCCAGTTGCCTCTGAAGATGTCTTGAATAAAGACGAAAGCTAAGGTACTCCGTTGTTTCCATTTTCCCGTGTGATTTTATCAAGATTTATCTTATCCACGTTTTCATTGTGAATTTACATGAAATATATATATATATATATATATATATATATATATATATATATATATATATATATATATATATATATATATATATATATATATATATATATATATATATATATATATACTTCATTTTTAGTTCATATAACACGTGGACTTTGAACATATAATCAACAACCTCACCAGCCAGGACTCGAACCTTCAACCTAAAGCATGGGACTAGGGAACATTACCGCCCATACCACAAGAGCACTAAAAGCAGGTCTAGACTATATGATATTTCACACAAAGCCTGTTCATCGAGCTGATTTAGTGCTCTTGTGGTATGGTCGGTAACGTTCCCTGGTCCCATGCATTAGGTCGAGGGTTCGAGTCCTGGCTGGTGAGGTCGATGATTATATATATATATATATATATATATATATATATATATATATATATATATATATGTGTGTGTGTGTGTGTAGAGAGAGAGAGAGAGACCCACAGTATGTAGAAGGTGACTCAGTGACAGTCTCACCTTAGCCCGAATTGTCTTGGTCTTGTTGCGGACGGCTGCACGTTAAACATTCTTTTGAACCTGTAGGCCAAGTGGATGAAGAGACACAGGTTGACCATCAGCAACACTAACACTATACCGTACATGTAGGCCCATGCTGAAGCCTTGTCTGTAGGAATAATATCGTGAACTGTTAAACTAAGTCAGTGTTAAAAATAGAAGTCACAGTTATAAGGACGAACTAAAGATGTATACCCACTCTGGCGGTCTTGGTGGAGCAGAGGGTAACCCCAATAGGCAATGCCTACAGTTGGTATTTAAGAAGCGAAGTGAATGCCTGCAGATATTGGTAGGGGTTGCTTATGAAGTACTGAAATGTTCATGAGAAGAGGAAGGGCACCCTAGGAGTATTAGTATATTTTTACTGGTATTGGAAAAACAATTGAGGAGCTGTCCGGACTTGTGGACTATTCCTAGGCACTGCCACCCTTGTCGCTCTACAAGGATATGGTTATTGTGGTGGAAATACTTTCTCTCCTTAAACATATCTTCTAAACTTTATAACCAGCCACCCACTATATTTATACAATATATAAGAGGACAAGTACATACACAATCCAAAGTTCTTGGCGAAGCCAAGCTTGAAGAAAGGCCAGGGTAGCGGTGGGTAGCACACACCAGCTCCTTATCGCAGTCACTCATATAAAACACACGAGCACAGGTATAAAATATTATTTTAAACATTGAAATGGTCAGCACTTGCATAACAAATGCATTCATAACTTTGTATGTCCATTCTCCTTGGTCAGTCTTCAACCTTGTCTTCGCCTTCCTTCCAGCCACGGAGGTAAACAAACTTTGGATTGTGACTTTACATTAGCAAAATATTTTGTGTGTAACAGAGCATTTAACTGCCTAAGTGAGACACACAGCCTAATATCTTCCTATTAACTTTACAAAAAGCGTCTCCATTTCCCAGTCTAATACAGAATAATCAGAATTATACGCCGTTTGGGCAGACACAAACCTTGCCCACGCACTGTTACCATAGCAAGGAAAATATCGAACTAATATTGATGTATCTGCAGTTGCCCCTGGAAACTATCTTATGTTATTGTTTTCTTTAACCACCCAAAAAAACATTACGATAACAACTCTTGGTCAATTTTGGCGCTAATCGTACCAAAGCTGTATCAGGTGAATCTTGACACAGGTTGACCAAGTCTGGTGCAAATCTACAAACCCGTTCTTGTGTTGTTTTGGGGAACACACAAACAAACAGGACTGAAACAATAGCCTAACACGTAGTTGTGCACAGAGGAATAATCCGATTTACTAATAGTTATCAATAATAAAAAAGTTAACAGAATGAATGAATTAAACTAATGGAACACCTTAAGATGAGGCACCCAACCGTATTCCACCTGTTCATTAAGCACCCTAATGGTTCTTGGTTAGGTTAAGTTAGGTAGGTTACGTTAAATCAGGTTAGGTTGGTATTACGAGGTGTAATCATCAGTTGAAATCGTATGGGGGTTTCTAATCTGCAAGTAATTCAAACAAGTTACTTTATGGTCAATATAATGAAGTAAGAAGAAAGAGAACCATTCACGTCGACCTGAACTATGACCGATGTGGGGTTATGTCTTAACACCTTATCTCACCTTGTAGATAAACTATATTCTAGTTATCTTTCTCTAATTCTTTCATTAAAGCTAAAACAAGATGAGCGGTTTACTTACCTCTGAACCAACAGTTAGGAGACACAAAATAAGGAAGAGCGGCACCAGAGGGCTTTAATGTATCCATAAGGACGGCCACCAAACCCACCACGACAGGACAACCCCAGGCGTAAATATTGTAACATATGAACCATCTTCCGAACTGCCTCATGTCTATACCATTCCTAGTCAATATATTGGTTACAATATTTGTTATGAGTCAAAATGGAGATTTAAGAACGAAACATGAAACAAAATAAACAATAAACCAAACCTAACCTAACCTAACCTAACCAAACCTAACCTAACCTAACCTAATCAAACTTGACCTAACCTAACCTGACCTAATCTACCCTAATCTAGCATAACCTAACGGTACTAATCCGACCTAAAATTAATCTAACATAATCTAAACTAGCAAAACCTAACCAAACCTAAATTAACGCTAATTTAACCTAGCATAACCTCATGCGAACCTAACTTAACCTAGCCTTACAGAAAGCCTAATCTAATCGATCCGAACGCTAACATAACATAACATAACATAACATATTCGGTTTGGTCCTGCTTCTTGGGGGAGAGTTCGTATACATTACTGTTTTAAAGCGGGAATTTAAATTTTCTTGTTCTACTGTATATGCTGAGACCTTCAGGCAAAGTTTGGGTAACACCTCCAGGTTAATTAAGTACAATACGTTTTCTCTGCAGAAGCCATCTGGGATTTTGGTTAGGCGGGAAGCATCTAAAATGATGGTTTTGGGAGTTTCATTAAATAAATCAACAAATAATAGACATTCATAATCTATTTATTTTAATTTATTTCGATTGGTTGGATACTACTAACAAATTTTTAGTATGATTCATCGTTCTGTTACTTTGTTCGTAGAACAAAATAGCCATATTGTACCTACTTTTAACCAAATTGGCTTTCACTTTGAAAGTATCTCTAAGTTTAATGGCTTCTCAATCACCCAATATTGTATATAGAGCTGCCCAAATTGGCGAAAAGTTTCCTTATAAAGTGCTCTGATTAATCCATTTGTCATATTCATATCTCAGGCATGTGTATGATGCCCAAGGGGCCCATTGTAACATAGCCGCGTTTAGGGCATTTCGTCAATATAACCATATTTCCTAAAGTAGATGCCAGAGGAAGTTGATCTGTGTATATATATATA